AAAAAATGCTTCCTGATGTAATCTGTAGCGCCCTCTGAAGTGAACCCTTTAATCTGCAAATGTGAATCAAAGTCATAGCGCCGCCGGATATCGATTCCCTTTTCTTCGCGCGAGGTGGCCAAAATAAAACAACGTGAGAAAACTTTTCTTTTAAAGAGCCTATCAACGACTTTTCCCGATGCTTCTGGTAACTCATCAAGGCCATCCAGGATTAAAAGAATCTCGTTCTGGTTCCTTTCATCCCTGATGTAATTCAGAAAACGCGTTTTATTTTTCATGTCATCATGCAAAACTTGCTCGTCAATAGCTTGTACCATGTCTTTGGTATCTTTGTGAATGTCACAGCATTTCAGAAGGAACAAAAACTTAAACGCGGGGAAATGAAACTCGATTGGTACTAACTTTTGGGCCCAATCTCTGGCAATTTTAAGACAAAATGTAGTCTTCCCAATCCCGGGGTTTCCTTCTACAAGTACCATTCTGGCGCCCTTTTCACCTTCTTCAGCAGGCTTGAAAATTTCATACATGTGAACCTCCTTCTCTGTTAGCTTAAAGTAAGCTTTCCTTCTCCATTTGATTTGCAACCTGGTGTAAACGTCATCAATAGGTAGTTGGATATCGCTGTCCCACAGCAATGGTTTTACATTGGAACGTCTGATGTATTCATCTTGAAGGTGTTCCACAACTAGACAATGCTCAGAACCTGCAAAAAAACAACGTACATTGTTCTTGAAGGCACATCTATACAAATAAACATTGACGTTAATCACGAGACAAAAATGGCAAGAGCAGCGAATGGCTCCTTCAAAGGTAACAAAAGGCTTGTTCTATGGAGTCTTCATACAACTGTTCTTTGGTGGCAAAAAAGGGGCGAAAAGTTTGAAAAAGCGCTGGATTTCCAGCCAAAGGCGTTGTGCTACTGCTACTGGAGCAGGCAAGCCATAGCTAGAAGAGCCTTGGAAAGTAAGACAAGTTTAATCCACAACTGCTCTGTGAAATGGAATATGTTGAAACTTAAAGTAAAGGTAAAGAATTTGATCCTACTGATGTGTCGAACAACGCGTCAGCCAACAGGCAGATGATACATTGGCCACCCTTTATCCTTCGAACATTTATGTGTCTGTGTTGTATTGGTGGTGAGTTGCTGGTGCGTTGGTGACTTTGTTTGGGCCTTATTTATATAAAGCAATGCTCAACCTACCTTTTCCACATTTATCTGTAATGCCTTCTTGGGAAAACTTTCACTAATGATGTGAAACTGAATAATTTCCTTTTGGCTGCCATCTTGTTTGTCAAGTTATTGGACCCAGTCCCCACTCAGTTACTTATCCTGACTTAGCACAGAATGAACATTTCCTATATTTTCCATAGGGACACCTTAATAATCTAAACTGACACACATTGTTGAGTTTTTAAATTTTTATCACCTAAAACACTGCAATTTTATTATGTTGGAAATTGACTTTTACAAACACTGACCTTCTGACCCTGGTAGTGTGTCGGCTGATGCACTGGCTGACACATCGGTTGATGTTACCAATATATTGGTAGTGTGTTGACTGATGGATTGGTAGTCTGTTGGTGGTGTGTCGGCCAACACGTCAGTAGGTTTGGAAGAAAAATTTGAAGTTATTTTTCAATCTTACCCTGAGGATATCCCTGATAAGAAAGTCCACTGTAATGTGTTGAACTGGCTCCAGCATATGGATTCTGATCATTTCCAGAACATGGCTGTCTCTTCTGACCTGATATTGATAAGAAGCCAAACACTACAAAACTGTAGTCATAAAACTCATCAAGGGTACACTAAATGAATTATGTGACAAATGTGTTACACAGAGCACAACAGTATGCCAATAAAAGGCCAGTTATCAGTCATAGTTACTCCCCTTAATTCAAAAAACAAATCATCAAAAGTTTCTGTACTCACTCTGAGGCAAGGTTTGGCTTCCCTGATTATTTGGATTTAAAAAGGCTGCAGGATGATTCCCCTGACAATAATCCACTGCTACAGGAGCAGGCAAGCCATAGCTGGAGGAACCTTTCAATGGAAAAGCATAATACAAGTATAATCCACAAGTGTTCTGGGAAATAAAATGTTTTGAAACACCTCAGAAGATGCTAAGAGAAACCTTCCATTTTAAGTAATGCAGAGGTGTCAGAAGGGTATACCCCTTGTCAGTGATGAGTTTTAAGAAAATCTTAAGTGAGGAAACTGTTACAGTAGTGCTTACAGGTGATTGCTTCATTAACTGCTGCCATGTTAACTAGCAAGGCAGAGAAGTAGAAAGGGAGGCCTGGAGAGACTAACTAGAACTACAGAATCCTTTAAAAATCCAACACTCTCCACAAACTCCTAACATACAGTAGCTGGCACATGCTTAACAAAATCATCAACACTGTTTGGTAAAATAATACCTGGTTGTTT